CATCTGGCATACTGTCGTCCAAATAGTACATACCTCCTCTCTCATGCCCTGAACCAATCGTCATCCCAGTTGCTAGGTCTTGAAAAACACAATAAGAGGGAAAGAAGGTGACTTTACAGTTATTGTGCTTTGTAAATTTACTAATGGATAATAGGCTAACAGAGAATTTAGGAACATATAACACATCAGTTAGTTTCAAAGAGAAAGTAACATGAACTACTCCATCACCACGAACTAGAGAAAGTGTACCATCAGCAATGTAGATAGAGGGAAACTTATCAGAAAGATATAAAGATACAAAATGATCCTTTATACCTGTCATATAGGATGAGGCTCCAGAATCTAGTACCTAGGGTTTGTGAGGAGAAGCTATGTAAGCATCCATACCTGAAGAGGATGCATGAGTAGCAAAATGATTGTTCTAAGAGAGCTCTAGCTGGCGTAACCTCTCATAATCTGCCTGAGAAATCTGAACAGTAGGAGCAGTAACAGCTGGACCACCAGAAGTAGTAGCAGAAATTGATGAGCGATGTCAGCGCCACATGGGCCTACTGAGGACGACCAAACTTCTCCTATCACTTCTCAGAAATATGATGGGTCCTCCCACAGTGACCACACTGACGTGAGCCCTTATCAGAATCATCATGTCTCCCACCAAAGGAGCCATGTCCTCCCCTTGAATCACGGCCACAACCACGACCGCGACCTCTACCTCGTCTAGAGAACATAGTAGACTGATCCACTAAAGGTGGAGATGATGCAGTAGTATCAAAAGTAACACCAGTAGTGACCTGCATGACTCTGAAGAATGTAGCAGTCAGTGAGGGGATGATATCTCCACCTAATATCTGTCCTCTCACCTGGGACTGTAAGGTAGGATGCAATCCAAAAAAACTTAGACACTGACAGGTCGCGGTGATATCCCAACAGCGTCGCTGCATCAGCTACTGTAGGCTGATGCATCTCTAGTTCGTCTATCAGTCCATTCAACTCACCAAAAAACTCAAGAACTGACATATCTCCCTGTTTGAGCATAAATAGTTGCTCATAGATCTCAAATACACGGGAAGTATTCTTCTCATTCCCGTACATAATCTTCAGGTTGTCCCACATCTCCTTTGCAGTGGTTAAGAATATAACACTGCTATTGATCTATGCTTTCATACTGTTGAGAAGTCGAGTCATAACATAATAATCAGACGAGAGCCATGAACTGTAGGTGAGATCTATGGTGGGAGGTGAAGATGACAGAAGATGTGGGAGTTTGCTCTGAGCACCAATGAAGATACAGAAAACCTGTGTCCAGAGCAGATAGTTTGTACCATTCAATTTTATTGTAGTCCCCAAGACTACCTTGGGTGCAGAAGTCTCACCAGCAGCAGCAGAGGGATGAGTAAAGGAGGAGATTTCTGACATTATAGTAGTACTCATTTTTGTACATTAATAGTAGACAGATAGTAGTCAAATAGCCAGGTAGTAGTCAAATAGCTAGGGCAGTAGTAGAGATTTGTTCTTAAATAAAAACTAAGAATAGATCAGTACCAAGATGATGATATTTTAGCCAGACACATACCAGATCTGAAAAACATAGAGGCGGAGCAGTAGGTAGGCAACAGTAGATGACTAGATCGGGTCATTTGTGGTCTCGAATCACCTATCCGAGGCCATGGGAGGAGAAGCAACAACAACAGCAGCAACGCAGCAACAACAGCGACAGCGGCAGCATCAGCAGTGCAACAACAATAGCGGCAGCAGCGCGGCAACAACAGTGGTAATCAATAGCGGCAGCAGGCAGCAGCGCAACAATAATAGCAACAGCAGCGGCTAAGGTTTTTGAATGAGGATTTGTGACGGCTAGGGTTTGATGCTCTGATACCATGTAGAAAGAGATAATAGAGAGAGCAAAACCCTAACTTTTATTAATTTATTCAGATACTAGATATATATATATATATATATAGTCATACAAATAGGGGTATGGTTAACGGGCCACAACCCATTAACCAAATACTCAATATACTTAATTTAACAATATGATTAAAATGTTCAATAAAATATTGTATGATTGTTGATGCTCGATATCAAACAGTCAATTAATCAAGAAGAGGATTGTTGATGGGTTGAGGAGTGATAGAGGATGATGAAGGGGACCTCTTCCTTTCTCGACTTTATGTCTGGCCACTGAGTTAGAGTTTACGATCTGCACAGAAGAAGTCGTGAGAGGGCGGGGTGATGATTCCCCTGTGGTACCTCCGACGATCAAGTCAGTTGATGAACTTAAGCTTGAGTGGAGTATAGCACAGAAGAAGTCGTGAGAGGGCGGGGTGATGATTCCCCCGTGGTACCTCTGATGATCAAGTCAGTTGATGAACTTAAGCTTGAGTGGAGTATAGAACTATGTGTACGTTCTTATGCTATGTGCATTAGAGATGATGATCTCTGAAATTAAGGTCAGGAGGAGAGTTTAGATTGCGAACCTTTGAGATCACAAACCCTTTGGCTATGGCGAATAGCATCTGCATATATAGAGGATACCAAGGGTAGATTGGTCATTTTGTCCATGCAAATGACGGTCACAAAGTGTGAGCTGGAAGGTGAGCCCTCCTTTGCTCTACACGTGTCGGTTGGCGACAGGAGGAAGATCACTTCGACCTCGATTTGAGGAGCGATCGATGGGACGTGAGATGATAAGCGACATGATGATGCATGGTCTATGAGTAGACATGATGTGACTTGTTGTCAGGATGGATAAGCTTCGGCGAAGTTATCTTCTAGCTTCGTTGAGAAGCAATGTCCCTCATGATGGGAATTGACTCATTGAAAGGAGTGATGACTCGCTGAGAGGAGTGACGACTCGCTGAGTCTACTAGGCTCTTAGCGAGTTGCTTGCTGCGAGAGGGCCGACTGGTACCGCCTTTCGAGTTGACATTGATGAATGTCGACTCGTCTAGTCAACTGAGTCGGATTGCTAGCTGATCTCTGACTATCTCTCCCGTCGGTCGAGATGTCGACTTATCAGATCATATATCTGGAAACAGTTGTAACCCATAACAATGATTAATTATAATATATTGAATAACTTCTTCTCTTTTAAAAAAATATAATAATATTAAAATAATTGTAATACTATCAGTAACTATGTTTTAATTTAACAATTAATTTATTACACTATTAATAAATAGTTTACTAAATTGTATAATTATTAAATTACAGTAGAAATTATTAATTAAAAAATACTATTAAAATCATTAACTATCAATACTACAACAATTACAATAAATACAAATTATTTTTCATGCTATTATCATACTTTTATAAAGCTAATAAGATGGAGGGTAACAAGTAGTCCTCCATAAGAGGAAAAACCCGAGGAAATGCATAATTAATAAGATGTTATATATAACTAGTGAATGATTAACTATAACTAATGACATATTTGAGAATTATCAAACTTAAAAGGATAAAAATAGAAATCAAAATCTATGACAAGGCAATCCTCTTTTATGTAGTATAGATACGGATATAGATATATATTGGATAATAGCTGTGTAGGTAACACTGTTCTTGAGGATTACCTCTATCCTTTGCTATACATGCACCTGATTGAAGGGAACCATGTCATGGTGTGGGTGCATAGATTTTTTCAACAGGGTCCCTCTTTTTGTTTTCATGCTTTCTAAAATTTTGTTACTTCTAACTTGTAATTATAGGTTTCAAACTGGGGTTTGCAGATATATAAATACAGTCTGAACTGTTTAATTTTGGGTTTTATAGAAAGTGTTTAAGTTAATGTTTGGTTTTACAGTTTTAGGAAGTAAGGTTTTTATTTTATTTTAAACAACTTATTGCGACGATGATCCAGATTGGAGATGTCTACGTCTAGCGTCCATATGGTTCATAAAATCAATTAATTATAATTATCATTTTGCAAATTGGAATTTGTGAGGACATTATTTTCCTATGTTCTTCGACAATTAAGCACCCTTTTTCTTTTCAATTTCCTTTTTTCTGGAAAATGTGCGGTTGACCTGTCATCCCTTTAAAATTCTGTCCTCTGCATTTCGTAACTAGCTCGCTGATGTGAACACAAGCTGGCAACCATTGTGTGCTTTAATAGGTTAATGGAGTTTATTAATTTATCTTGAAGAGTTCTCACGTGGGGGTTGCTAGCTCTTCATTCAAATACAAGAAAGACCACCATACTTTTTTTTCCAAATGCAGATCGTCACTTAGCACTCCTGCATTAAATTTTGTGGAAGTTCGTACAATCAGAGAAACAAACAGCGAAATAAAAATGATTTCGTTCAAACCCCTGCATTGATTGGGTTTATGTCACCCTTTGAACGTCAACACAAACTTCCAAACTCTTGTCTACTAAACTATTCACACGGCAAACACCATCTCGCAAAAAAAAAAGAAAAAAAAAGAAGACCCATAATAATATGTAGATCATCGAAAACGTAGATTTGTTTGGGAATGAAGCAATCAGTTAAGTTCATTTCAGTATTGCAATAATTGGTTGTGAAAGACTAAAGTCAAGTCACCGCAGATGACGGTAACCCGCTGCTCCAATCCCTCACCTGAAACTGAGAAAGAAAAAGGCAGCTTCTTTATTAGCCACAAAAGACATTCCAAAAGCGCGGCGTTCGGCGGACTATGACATAGTTTATGCACAAAGATCAGCCATTACTCCATCAAACAAACACTCTTTTGAATAAAAATAATAATTATCATGGTCATATTCATATAGAAACCAACCAAGACCTGATTTCAGATTTTTTTTTTAAATGAAAGGTTAAGCTCTTAGCGCACGTACAATTCTCCAATCTACCATTAGTACAGTGCTCCCTTTGAACCCTACACGCATACCTTCTATGTCTCCCCCATTCTATAAAAAAGCCTAGCTGTACCAGCTAGGAACCTGTCCCCTCCTCCTCTCAGTCAGTTCCTGACAGTACTATTCTCCTAATATATCCATCTCTGATCGAACAAAATCGAGTTCAGTCAGTTAGCATGGCCAATTCTGCTGGTACTGATTCTGGCTCCGGCTCCCGTTCCGGCTCTGGCTCTGGCTCTCCGTGCGGCGCATGCAAGTTCCTAAGACGCAAATGCGTGTCAGACTGCATATTTGCCCCTTACTTTCGGTGCGACGATGGAGCAGCCCGGTTTGCGTCCATCCACAAGGTGTTCGGCGCTAGCAACGTCTCCAAGCTCTTGTCGCATGTGCCTGCGCAAGACCGGTGTGAGGCTGTGGTCACCATTGCCTACGAGGCTCAGGCCAGAATCAGAGATCCTGTCTATGGCTGCGTCGCCCACATCCTTGCTCTCCAACACCAGGTACTTGCCATAATTCAATGTTCGTTCTTAAATGCAGTTAACTGCAATGTAGCGTTGCGGTGCGTACTGGCTAGTTTCGATCTCACTGATGTTGGGGTTTTCCTAGGTTGCGATTCTGCAAGCACAGGTGATGCAAGCCAGAGATCAGTTAGCTCATGGTACGGTGGGATCTCGAGTGATGTCTGCTGTCGATCAATGGCAGGGGAACAGGCCGCAAGCCGAGCCCTCAATATGGCCAGCGGCAGTCATATTCAGGCTGGCAATCTGCCATGTCCCCGTCGAGCTCGCTTGGTAGCAGCTTTGATGGGATGCCAGTGCAAGAGACGTGCTGCAATGAGGAGCTCCCAACTCAACCCTTCATGAAGAGGAGATCAGCTCCTCACAATGAGCTGGGGGAGCTTCAAGCTCTGGCTCTCAAGATGATGAGGACCTGATCACATCTTCCCTAATTATATATGTAATGTAAATACAACGTCGTATAGCATAAAGGGAGTGTTTAATCAAATGTTCTAATTGAAAACATGAAATTAATCATCATATATACGTTTGTGTTAAAGGTCTCGGATAGTGGATTATCATATGGACGATTAGTCCTCTTCTGTCGTTTATTACTATGAAATCCGAACTTGTGTGCAGAGAAGAATTGACTAAATTGGGCTAGTAGCCGTTTATGAATCCATATTCTTCATTTATATGCATGTTTGTACTTCTCTCTCTTTTCCTCTTTCTTGGAAGTGAATAGTTACCCTTAAGCGGAGGGAAGTAGTTGATGGACTACTATTTTAATCACAATTGTTGATTTGTATAGTATGGATAGTTGTGATATTTTTGAGTCAAGTAAACTAAGAATGAGTAAAATTCATGAGGGTATGATGAGTGCTAGACTTAGAATAAATCATAACCACCCGCTAAACAAGTTAATAGCCGAGATGAAAGTAGTAGGCACTCCACTATTTTTTTAAAGCGGAGAGGGTACAAAAAGCTTTCTCTCTTTTTATATTACTGCTTTTTCGAAACTATCCGTCCCCTTCATCAAAAGAAAATACATTTACAACTCTATTAATTTTCCCTAACCTATTTATTGATAATAGTGTAAGTAGTAGTTTTTTAGCCCCACATTGGTTGTGAGAACACACATCACTCTCATCTACTTGTATAAATATATGTGCACACTCAATATTCAACTTAAGGGAAATTTATCCAAGATTCTCTCTCTCTTACTTTAACATGGTATCAAAGCTAGGGTTATTATTTTTTTCTAATAATTTTTTTTAACACTTCTGCGTTCTTTTGCCAAATCTTAGCATTGCTACTTTGCAGCCGTTTAAACGCCTTGTTTGTGTTCCTTTGCTAGAATTTTGACATTGCCGTTTTGCGGCCTCTTAACGCGTTTCGCGTTCTCGTATTCAAGATCGTTTCTCGATCTCAAATTTATGGCATCACCGTTTCAAGATCATCTCTTGGTCTCAAATTTACAACATCTCTGTTTCAAGACCGTCTCTCGGTCTCAAATTAAAGGCATCGCCGTTTCAAGCCATCTCTCGGCCTCAAACAAGCGGCATTTCCTTTTCACAGTCAATTACGGCATCATCGTTTCAATCCATCTCGACGTCTCAACGTCTCAACATCGACATTAATCCGTTGTAGGTCTCCGGTGTGAGCATCAGATCCGGTCGATCTTCAGGCACCTTGGTCGCCGGTTACTTCTTTTTTCCCAGATCTAACAATCATTTTAACCTTCGGGTTTACATTAACCTTCGAGTTCTCCTTTAAACATTCGAGTTTTGTTCAAGGATTATTATCTTGAACTTTGAATTGTTGCTATTATGACCTCTTCACTGGCACCTGCTTCTCAGGTTCGGTCTAAGCTCTTTTGTACCTATTGTAAGAAGGAGGGACACCGCTTTGAGACATATTTTCAGTTTCATCCTGAGTTATATTCCTCAGGAATTGGTCATAGTCAGCGATCCCCTTAGTCCCGATCCTCTAGTACACCAGGATTACTGGTCAATGTTATACCATCTACCACTTCAGACCCTATCATTCAAGCTATTACAAATTTTAGCCGTCAAATTACGGCTCTTCAGCATACCACCTCTCCATCTGCTGTAAAACTCTCTGATATTCATCGTCAAATTGAGGCTCTTCAAGCTATTGCAAATATTAGCCATCAAATTATGGCTCTTCAGCATACCACCTCTCCATCTGATGCACAACTCTCTGATATTCGCCATCAAATTGGTGCTTTTCAGTATAGCCTCTACATCTACTGCACAACTCTCTAGTATGCATCTTTCTGGTTCTTCAGCCAATTCTTCGGTCTCTGGTATGAATGATCTCTGGATTTTTGACTCTGACTGTTCCTTTCATATGACTCGTAATGCCTCTCTCTTATCTTCTGTCTTCACTTCCTCTTCTCTTCCCCTTATCTTCACGGCTGCTGGACAACATTTGTCTATCACTTAGTATGGCTCTATCACCCCACAAACTGACTCATTTGGTCGTCTAACTCCTTGTCCCATCTATGTGGCTCCTCAGTTGTGTTTGAATTTAATTTCTGTTAGCTCCTTATGTATGGATGGCCTACTTGTCTCATTTTCTTCTGATATTTATATTGTGCAGGATCCACAAACGGGCAAGACTGTTGGGCCGGTCGGAGGAGACACAAACCGTATATTCTGAAATATCTTCACCTTCCAGAGTCCATACATCAACGTTCTCTTGTTGCTTCTATAAGTCCAAAATCCTCTACCTTGCTTTCCCCAGATTTGTGGCATAGACGACTTGGTCATGTGTCTCATAAAAGGCTACAAAGTCTTATTTAGTCCGGAGTAAATTAGTCTTGTATCCTCTCGTTCTCATATTGAGTCATGTACTAGTTGTAAATTAACTAAATTCACTGCTCTACCGTTTTCAACCAGTATTTCTGTTTCCACTTTCTTATTTGATTTGGTCCATTTTAATATCTAGGGGCCAGGTTCTCTACCTTCTTCATCTGGCTCCTTATATTATGTTAGTTTTACCAATAATTTCTCTCATTATACATGAGTCTACCTACTTAAAAATTGCTCTAACTTACTTGCTGCTTATCAAGCCTCCACTGTGATGATCTTCACTCAATGACAAGCTCGTATTAAAGTTTTTTATTCTGACTGTGCCAAAAAGTACCTATCCTCTACCATACACTCTATCATGTCCTCTCATGGGACTATATTTCAACAGTCATATCCCTACACTCATGAGCAAAATGGTATTGCTGAATGTAAACATCATCATACTCTCGATACCGCTCGATCCATGCTCATTTCTTATTATGTTCCTCGTCGTTTTTGGACTGAGGTCATTCTCACTGCTACTCATACCATTAATATCACTCCATTTAGCTCTCTTTACGATGCTACTCCTCATAGTCATGTTTATACTCATCCTCCCCGTTATGATCTGGTTCGCGTTTTTGATTGTCACTGATTTATTCTTCTGTAATCTCACAAACGTGATAAATTGTCCCACATAGCTGTTCTCTATGTCTATTTAGGAATTAGTTTGTAACATCGAAGTTATCGTTGTATGATCTTGTATCTCGTTGAGTTTATATATCTCTACACATTCAGTTCAAAGAAGATTCTCCATTTTATTCTGCTTCCGATGATTTTAATTTCCTCCATACTACTGATTATGCTTCTCCACCAGCTACATCACCCACTTCCTTACCTCAGTTCTCCTTTCGAGATCTCCCTAAAATCTCTCCATCTCCTTCTGTTGACTCTCCCTCACCTGAGTCTTCTCTTCTACCATCTGATCCCTATCCCGTAGGCACGAAACCCACTACAAAAAATATTGTTGACCTCTATGCACCTGCACCAGCATCTTCCCCGCCTGAGATTCCTCTTGCTCTTCGTCGAGACAAACGCCCACATGTCATACCTACACGGTATGCTTTGGTTACTTCCTATTTATCTATCTTTCATAATTTTCTTACTGTCATTCATACTACGATTGAACCAAAGTCCTTTTAAGAGGCCGTTCAATCTCCAGAGTGACGATAGGCTATGGTTGAGAAATTTTAGACCTTTCAGTAAACACATACTTGGGATGTTGTTTGTTGTCCCCCTAGTATCTCTTTAGTTGGCAGTAAATAAGTTTATAAGGTCAAGTATCATCCTGATGGCACCATTAAATGTCGAAAAGCTCGTTTAGTAGATCGAGGTTTTACTCAATAACAATGTATTGATTATGAGGAGACATTTGCTCCTGTTGCTCAGATATCCATCGTTCGTACTCTTCTTGCGGTTGTTGCTGCTCATCGTTAGCCCTTATATCAGATGGATGTCAAAAATAATTTTCTCCGTGGCTCTTTATCTGAGATAGTATATATGCAACCGCCTCTAGGGTCCAATATTCCTTCGGGATATGTATGTCTCCTTCGTTGTACTGTTTATGGTCTCAAGCAGGCACCCCGCGCTTGGTTTGAGTGTTTTTGTGATATTGTGCTCAAGGCGGGCTTTATGGAAAGTCATCAAGATGTTTCTCTGTTTTTTCTCACTACATCGAATGGCAGAATTTTATTACTCATCTATGTAGATGATATGATCATTACAGGTGATGATATGGCTGGTATACAGTACGCGAAATCTCAGTTGTAACAACAGTTTCACATGAAGGATCTTAGATTTCTTTGGTATTTTTTTTGTCTAGAAATTTCTCAAGGCCCGCGGGTTGTACGATTATCTCAACAGAAGTATCTCTCGGATATTCTAGATCGAGCTAAGCTAATTGAAGATGCAACTGTCGATACTCCACTCCAATAGAAATATCAAACTTCGAATCTATTGATGGTGAGCCTCTATCTGGTCCTACCCGATATCGACATCTTGTTGGCCAGTTGGTCTATCTGTGCATCTCTCGACCAAATATCTCTCATGCTGTTAGCATTGTTAGTCAATTTGTTAGTGTGCCACGTTCTGTATACTATGCTGCCTTATTACAGATTCTTCAGTATCTCCCGGGTACTAGCACTCACTCTCTTTTGTTTTCTGCTACATCTAAGTTAGAGCTTTGTGCATATTCTGATGCTGATTGGGCTGGTGATCCCACTATCAGGAAGTCTACCATAAGTTATTGTATATTTCTTGGTGATTCCCTAATTTTCTGGCGGAGGAAGAAACAAGATGTTGTTGCTCTTTTCAACACTAAGGCAGAGTATCGTGCAATGTCCACAACAGCTAAATAGATTATTCATCTTCGTCGTCTTCTCAGTGATTACGATATTTCTGTTTCGACTCCTACTCCTCTATA